CTAAGTGAAGCAACTCAGTGTGCCTGACGTCGATTCAGGACAACTTCGAGGAGTACCGGCGGCGCCTGGGACTCCGTGCGTTACACGATTACGGACAACGTGTTCGCAAGTGGCTTGAGTCTACAAGGCCTGTTTTTTCCTGAGCCTCATGGCTGGTTTCAGCTCGTACTACGAGACCTTTGGGGAGACTTGGGAGTTCGAGGAGTCAAATTCTGGGGACTCCAGAAACTCAAGCGAGAGGCGGTCGAGGAACCGCTGGTCGCGGCCAGGAAGTGCGGCGACAGGCGGCATCAGCAGCGATTCGGTCTTCGAAGAGGCCGAGAATTTTGAGCACGAGCGAGACCAGGGCTCATCCTGGGATGGGTGGGCCGAAGATGGATCCTGGCACGGGAGTGCCGGGACTGGTGGCTGGCGGGACAACGAGAACTGGAGCTACGCTGGAGAGGCAAGCGGGACTACGAGAATTGGAGCTACGCTCTGGGACGGGGTCCCGCAAGGACTTCGGTGGCGAGAAGAATTGGAGTTGGAAGGATGGCTACGGGCCAGCCACCCAGGCTCGTTGGTCTAAGTGGGAAGCGGACTATGTAGGACCAACGAGGGAGGCGAGCTCCGAGTGGTCTTCGGGAACGGGGACAGAGGAGGAGCTCGACAAGAGCTACTTGGAGTGGAAGAGGAGCGTCGAGTTCTGGATCGGCGGCGAAGGTGCTCAACTTCCATAGGAACTTGTCGGGCCACGCATCATGGTGCAGTTAAAAGAGAGAGCGGCCCAGCTTGTGAAACACTTGAGCAACGAGGATGTTAACAAGAGCGACGGCAAGGAGATCATCCTCCGGGCCCTCGAGAAGTCTCCTTTGATAAGACAGCTGGACAAGCACCGCGTGGACGAGCACAGGCGCCGGCTGATGAGTTTGAACCGGGCCCCCGGAGAGTCGATGGAGAGCTACGTGACCCGAGCTTCGATCTACAGGACGCATCTGTTGTCTATGGATGAGAGCATGGCTATGGGTGAGGCTTTCTACGTGGGACATCTGGTGGACCACGCCCATGTGACGAGGCCGGACCGGGCCATGGTCAAGACGAACGCCGGCAGCGAGACCGACGAGCTCCTTGTGACCAACGCCCTCATCGAGCTGGCCTGCGAGCTGGAGGGCGAGAGTGGATACCCCATTGGGGCTTCGGAGCCGAATGCGGCTCGGAATGGGGAAGAATGGCTGCTGCAGCGAGGGGAGGGCCGAGGTGGACGGTTGGTGCCCAACAAGCCGGCCCGAGGAGTGTTCGCTGCGGAGGTACCCAGTGCTGAGCTCAGCGCCGACGATGGCGAGACCAGGATTGACGATCCAGGCGAGGAGTCGCTAGACGAGGTAGACTACCCGCCAGAGCTTGCGGCGGCGGTGAACGAGGCCTACGGCATCCAGCACCGCGCCAAGCAGAAGATTGCTGAGGTCAAGAAGCTCCGGCAGTACTACCGCAGGCCGGACCCTGAGGAGCGCAAGAAAGCATTGGCAGAGCAGATGCGGAAGCACCCTTGCCATGCATGTGGACAATATGGCCACTGGAGCAGGGAGTGCCCGGGCGGTGCGAAGGGGCAGGCAACTTTGGGGGCGACCAAGGAACAGCCTCAAGCCGTTCTGGCCGCTACCTCGCGGAGAGGGAGCACGGGCAATCTGCCGACGCTGGCCGAGGAGGATGAATGGCAACTCTTAGCATCGATGTGCCGGGACCCTGGCAGCCGAAAGCGGCCCGAACCGAGCCAGCACTTCGTGGCAGTGGTCGGGCTCAGGGTCATAGTGCGTTTGCTGCAGTGAACCTTCCCCTCAACGAGATCATGTGGTCCATGCAGGAGCTAAGTGCCATCAACGAGATCATGTGGTCGATGCAGGATTTATAGCTTACAAAGTCATTTTGGACTTAGGGTGCATGCGGTCCGTTGCGGGCTTGGAGTGGACCAACATGTTGGTCAAGCGTTGGAAGGCCGAAGGTCGATGGTGTCGGGTGATGGAGGAGCGCGAGGCCTTCAAGTTCGGGGACGGTGAGATACTGCATAGCCGTTTTAGGGTCAATTTCCTGGGGAGCTTCGCGGGCAAGGCGGTGGTCTATGGTTTCAGCGTTGTGCCGGGTAGTTGTCCTCCTTTGTTCTCGCGTTCGGGGTGCACACAGATTGGGGCGGTGATTGACTGTGAGCACCATCGTGTTGCAGTGCGGCGACTTGGGGTCTCGGCTTATGGGATAGGGCAGGAGTCAATTGATGAGTGCGCGGTTGGCAGTGTGCACCTTCCTGAAGATTACCGTTTGCCAGCGCACCAGGACATTGCCCCCGTGAATGCCGAGGTTTCTGGTGCTCAAGCCGAGCCCCACACTGCGCCGAAGCCCTGTGAAGCACATGGCAGCCTCCGCGTCCACGCCGAAATGCCGCATCTGCCAGAGCAGCGAGCACAAGACCCGGGATTGTCCCCAGGTGGACTCGGATGCCGAGAGCTTCTCCTTGATCTACCACAAGGAGATGGACTTGGATGCTGGGGAGGACCGGGATCGACTGAGGAAGCCAGCCCAGCCACGTGGGGCGAGGCCAAAGTCGGCAGCGGCGCCGGCGACACCGAGCGAGGCCAAGGAGAAGAACCCCACCGAGGAGACCGTGAGCGCCCTGACGAACGAGGAGGTGGAGTTCATCCGCAAGCGCCGCGAGAAGCAAGCAGTTTCGCGGGCCCGAATGATGGATCGCAGTGCCTTGACCGGCGAACTGGCGAACTTCCCCTCCGAGGAACTCGGCTTGAATATAGCAGGGTCCACGGCCAGCCGTATGAGAACATGGTGTTGGAAAAAGTTGGTCTGGATGGTCAGGATCAAGCATGCAGTGGAGCGGGATGGAGACCGGAGGTGGAAAAGGAACAGGAGGTGGCTTGCCGGATTGCTGGGGAAGGAGATTGCCTCCCTCTTCGGCCATTTTGGCGCCATGAGGCAGAAAATGCACGATCCAAGCATGGCGAGCCTCATGTGAAGGGGCCACTCGCCCACAACACAACGGCTGAAGACAGGGGTCAAGGAAGGTCTCGAGGGGATCCGCATTGTGGAGAAGGCCGCTCAGGACGATGGCCGGTGGGTCCTCCTGGAGATCTTTGCGGGCACGGGACAGATGTCTGCAATGGCGGCCCGCCGAGAAGGGTGGCGGATCCTCGAGCCCATCGACTTGACTACGGGATGGGATCTGAAGGTCCCGGCGCAAAGGCGGCAACTCCTGGAAATCATAGCGGCACAGCAGCCCGACCTCATCACTTTGTCGCCTCCGAGCGGGCCGTGGAGCACCTAGGAGCCACTTTGTGAGGACGCCGACGGTCACTACGAGAGGCGGAGGCAACAGCTCCGTCTATGGGAGCTTGTGGGCGAGGTCTGGAACCTCCAGGTGGCCGGCCGACGACTGGTCATGGTGGAGCAGCCGGTGCAGTCTCGGGCTTTCGAGCTGGAGTGGATGCGCGACCGCGAGGATGTTGTTCGGGCGGTTGTACATCAATGTGCGTTCGGACTCAAAGACCCCGAGAACCAGCGCCCCTACCGGAAGCCGACGATCCTCGAGGTCAATGACCCGGTCATGGCGAAGGGTCTGCTGAAGGGGGCGTACCGCACGCATCGCCTGGAAGAGCACCAAGCGATCAGCGGGGAGTGTTTGAGCGGCGGCGCCATTCGACGAAGGTCGGCGGTGGCGGCTGAGTGGCCGCGTGGGTTCTGCGAGCATGTCCTGCGTGCAGCTGAGATGGCGCTCGGGAAGCCAGCGCCGGGACCGGTGCATTGGTCTTTGACGGCGGAGATTACGGGGTCACTGTGGGAGGCCGCACCGGTGACGAGCAGCGGGACCCCGGAGGAGGGGGTCCGAGAGCAGTTAGCAAAGCACGGCGCCACCGGCAACCGTTACGACTACATCTACTTCGAGGGCGAGGAGGCGCAGCAACCTAGGCGGCTCAGGGCAATGGTGGCACATGTGCATGTCACACTTGGACACTTGTCGAATGATCGGCTGGCTCGGATGTTCATTCTGAGTGGTGCGCAGAAGGGTGTGATTGCCCTTGCCAAGTCCCTGCGGTGCCAGATTTGCGCTATGGTGCGACCCCCAGGACAGACGCCTAAGGTCTCCTACCGGAAGCCGAAGCACTTCAACGAGAGGGTGTCCGGAGACACCTTTTTCGTTTGGGACGCCGATAATAAGAAGTACGCGGTCACTCACTTCTTGGACGCCCTGACCGATTACCACATCGGGGACCTCACTGAGAACCTCACCTCGAACTTCGCCCGGGAGGTCCTCACTGACTTGTGGTACGGTGTCTTTGGCCCTCCGGATCAATTGGTCACCGACGGAGGCATGGAGTTTCGCGGCTCCGTGGAGGCCCTGAACTCGCTCTTAGGGGTGTTGCACGAGGTGGTCCCCGAGGGAGCCAAGTGGAGGATGGGCCAAGCGGAAGGGCACGGGGCCGTGGCTAAGCTCATGGTCATGCGCATGGTCCGGGAGCTCAACTTGAAGGGTGTCGGGGAGATGAGACGGGCTGCCATCTCGGCATTTGCGGCTAAGAGCCGGACGTGCAACAATGGCGGTGTCTCCCCTATGCAGGCCGTGACGGGGAGGAACGTGATGTTGCCCGGCTCGATCATGGACCAGATCACATCTGGAAAGGTGAGGTTCAGGTTCAATGAGGCCGCGACCAAGAGTGAAGCAGTGGCCAGGGCTGAGCGGATCCGAGCGGGAGCCGTGGAGTCCTTCCACTGGCTGGATGCCCATCAAGCTCTTCGCAGGGCACTCGCAGCCAAGTCGAAGCCACCGGACATTGAGGGCATCAAGGAGGGCACGGTGGTGTATGTGTACGAACCCCCACCTTCAAGGCGCGGCTTGGCGCGGCGATTGCAGGACAACTTGAGCTGGTCCGGACCAGGTGTGGTTGTCTGTGTGGAGAAGGACGCGGAGATTCCCCGCCGACTCTGGGTGCGACTGCGGGGTAAGGTCAAGGCCTTTCCTCTCGAAAAGGTGAGGCTTGCCACGGCGGACGGCGACCCCGAGGACGATGCAGACGTCGGCGGGGATGAGAAAGATCGCCGAGAGCGCCGGGCCAAGTTGCTGGAAGACGTTCCCCATTCGGTGAAACAGCGTCTCTTCGAGAAGTTGTCAAAACAGTTCGGGGGCCCCTACCAAGCTCCAAGAGGCCGAGCTCCGGAGTCGCATGGACCAGGCCGTCAGGGCGGTGCGGAAGGTCATCAACCGCCACAAGAAGGATGGCCAAGGAGCGACCGTGCGGCAGGCAGCCAAGGGCAAGCTGAGGTGGAAGTGTTCGCCATGGAGGGGGACCTACCATTGCCTCATCTACGTGCGGGCGAGCTGGAGGCCATGATCCAGGACACCGTTGGCCATTGGACTTTGTGGACCGGGAGCTCTACGTGGGCGGGGAAGCAGGAGATCCTCGAGGTGAGCGCCGAGATCCGACGTCAGGAGTGGGAAGGCGTCACGGAGGTGGTGACGGGCCGGGCCAGGTCCGAATACCGTTGGGCCGACTTGGATGAAGCCTGGAGACAAGCCTATATCGCTCCTCTCAAGAAAGCGATTCAAGTGTACGTGGAGCACGACGGCATCCGAGGCGTACCCCAAGGACAGATGGTCGACCCTGGGCGCATTTTGGGGTCTCGCTTTGTACTCACCAACAAGGGAGGTGAGGAGTTGGCCGAGGCCGAGCTAAGGGCGAGGTGGATCTTCGGAGGCCACAGAGACCCGGACGCTGGTCTCTATGCTACATCCTCACCTACGGCAATAAGTTTGCTGGGCCATAACCTTATCAACTTTGTGGCGGCGCAAAAGAAATGGGTGGTCCACTACGAGGATGTGAGCTCGGCTTTTCTACAAGGGAAGGAACTTCCCCGGAAGGAGAAGATCTACGTGAAGGTCCCCAAGGGCTACCCCGACGATACCTCGTGGAGCAGCTGGGCGCAGATTGCCCAGCGGACCTCGTGGAACTCACCAAGGCGGGCTTTGGCTTGCCTGAGTCTCCAAGGCTATGGTACCTGGAGTACAAGGACTGCATCCAAGACCTCGGCCTGGAGGAGATGAAGCTGATACCGGGCGTCTTCCGGGCCTTCCACCCACCGCTAAGGCGAGAACTTAGGGCGATGGCCAGCATCCACGTGGACGATACAAGGTTTGCGGGGGATGAGACCTCGGGCGAGATCTGGGCCCGTCTCCGGGAGCGCTTGAAGTTTGGGAAGCATCGGCAGGCGACGGAGGGATGGGTCAAGTTCTGCGGCCGCTGGGAGCGACAGGACCCAGTCACCTACGAGATGGAGTACTCGATGGACGAGTATGTCAAGAATATTCCTTTGGCAAAGGCACCCCCGGATCCGAAAGCGGGTCCAGAACACCACCGAGCATCTTCATCGACATCTACACCATCGACTGGGGTCCTGAAGGAGCAGAGTGGGCCAGAACACCGCCAAGCATCTTCGTCGACATCCACACCATCGACTGGGGTCCTCACTGAACATGAGTCAGACATCTGGGAGGTCCTTCAACGGCGGGTCGTAGAGACCGAATCCGATGGTGTGCTCACGGAGGGGGAGAAGAAGCTCATCAGCTCTCTGGTGGGACAGCTGAATTGGGCAGCACGGCAAGGAAGGTATGACCTGTCCTATGTGGCATCCTTGGTCCAACAGCTGGCCGGACACAATCGAAAGGATGCTCTGCGGTGGCTCAACCTAGGCATCAAGCGGGCTCAAGAGACCTTGAACTTTAAGGTGAGGAACCTCGGGTGCCCGCTGGACGAGATGCTGGTGGTTTCGGTCAGTGACGCAGCCTACGGGGCCATGCCAGGGGGGCATAGCCAAGGGGGCAACCTAGTGATGTTGGGCCATCCCAGCATTTTGCAGGGAACGGGGCCACTGTGCATCCTCGAGGGGAACAGCACCAAGATCCACAGGGTGGTGAGATGCTCCATGTCAGCAGAGATATCAGCTCTCACCACAGCCTATGAGCGTGGCGACTTCGTGAGGGCAACGCTGGCCGAGCTCATCAACCCGGAGTTTGAGCTCGACAATTGGAACAAGCATGTAGCCAAGTGGACCCACATCCTCACGACGGACGCGAAGACCGGCTACGATGCTATATCCAGTGAGGCCATGCCGGCCGATAGGAAGATTGCCATCGACGTGGCCGTCTTAAGGCAAGCAGTGCTTGAGGAGGGCGTTGGCGCCTTGGTGCGGTGGGTTCCGGGCTCCGAGATGGCCGCCGACGGGCTCACCAAATGGGGCCACAACAAAGTACTTTCCCGGGTGATCTCTCGCGGCGAATGGGCGCTAGCAGACAATCCACAAGCTCAAGAGCTACGCCGGCCAGAAGCGAAGTGTTTCGCCAGAGGGGTCAGGACTCAAACCGAGCCTGAAACCCGTTCGCTGGTGTCCCTTTTTCCCGCCAGGAGACGCATCCGACGAAGCCACAGGAGGCTCAGACAGGGCAAGTGTGTGAAAAGCCCCGGCGTAGGGTTTGTGCGTGTTGTGTGGCCGTCGTGCCATTTGTGCGGGGCTGCTGCCTTCAAGTCTTACGGTCGCCCCGCATGCCCAAGCAGAACTCATGTGGCTTGAGATTCCAGATTCCTTACCAGGACCAGAAGAACCATGGATTCTTTCGACTTCCTCTCTGGATTTGGAGTTGATGTTGGGAAGGCTCGTGACATTTGATCAATCGTAAGCGGGCAATGGAAGAGGCTATCGTAAAGAATGTCGCGAAGAAGGACAATTTGAAATGCCATTCTGTGCGCTTGTTGGTGGATCTCTGGAAAGCTAGATCCTTATCGCAAGATGACAAGGAAAACTCAGGCAGAACCATCGAGCTCATTGTCAAGAGCCTCTTGCGTCACTTGTCCATTCCGACGCTGAGTTGGGCAAAAATTGCAGCTGAAGCGATTGATCTTATGTCTGAACATGCTGGCCGATATTCCCACAAAGATTTGCCCCACCATGAGTCCAGACAGTCCAGATCCTCTGGTGAGAACTGTCTTGCCCGGAATAATCTTGGATCCTCGTTCAGTGCATTGCCTCACCGTGACCGAACCAGATCTCCCAGAAGAAGTGTGCCCCGACAGATTGTGCGTGAAGATTCGCGATCAATTCCGACAACTCGCTCAAAGGCTCGTGCTGCACCTCCGCCGAGGGCGGCGCCACCGTGTGACACAGTGAGTCGTGATGTGTTCAGACAAGAAGGCCTATTAGTGGAGACTCCTGATTTCCACCCACCACAACACGATGCAAGATCAACTCTTCGACCTCGAGGCCTCTTTCCAGTGGATCCACATGAGTCAGTGCCGGTTCAACCTGGTGAAACATCATGCCGTGGTGTCTTGCATGTACCCAGTCACTGTGAGCAGCGCGATCCTCCAGCTACGCAGGGGCTTGAGGATGCTGAGAGGCCAGGGTCTTTGGGTGCTTCTGTGCAAAGCCTTCCGAAAGCGTATCACAAGTTTGATGAACTCCAAATGGCGACCTCTTTGCCCACGAATGATCACGATGGAGCACAATGACCCTTCGTTTCGACCTCTGAGTCCTGAAGATGCGGTGGATTTCGTGTTCGTGTCGGAAGAACAAAATCGCAACGACAAGCTGTTCCTTTTCTACAGACAGTTGGCCAGAGCGGGCATTTATGTTGACTTGCTTTACTTTGGGACGGAGCATCATGCTCTCGTTAATGCTGTCGGGTATAAAGGGTCTGACTCTGTTCCGGCAGTGCAAACGAAACTTGGTCCGAGCATCAACTTTCACATTACGACTTCAGGGAGAGTGCGCTTGGATGGTAAAATGGATTCGAAAGAAATCCTGGCAGCTATGATGCGCCGGGCTTTTGCCCCGTTCAATGCCATCCAGATGTCTCGTCAAGTGAATGCCAGGGCAGCAATGGGCCAGAACAGCGAGGCGATGCGTGTTCACTCTTGGTTGCTACAACGCAAAGGTATGGTTCTCACGATTGGCCCGGCGTGTGTGTTTGATGGCATGGGTCAATCTGGCATTTGGGACAAGATACACTCTGTTCTGGGAGCTCGAGGCGCCACCCCGAACAACTGCATTCCATGGACAATCTTCACTAGACAAAGAGTGTCTATCTCGATATGGCCATCGGGAAAAGTTGTTCTTCAACACCAGCGAGCTGAACTAATGGCAGTTGAAACGGTAGAAAAAATTCTGCTGGATCATTTTCAGGCATCCTGGTTGTCCGTGCCCGATTGGGAAATGATTGAATGCGGCCAAGAAAAAAAGGTAACTTATGGCATTCAAGGAGAGACTGCGAGGCAACAGGCTGGCAAGCTTTTTGGTTAAGCGGGGCTCTTCACAATATGAGTTGCTATGCAAGAGCTGAGCCGCTTGCCATCTCAATCAGTTGCCCTCCGCCGCTGTTCATCATTGACAAAAGTGATGCTGCAGTTGTGAATGATGCGCTTGCCGAGTTGCGCTTGTGTCTCCTGACAAACCTTGCTTCTCTGAAGGCTTCTTCACATATCTTGTGGGATTATGCTCGTGTGCAAGCTGAGCTCCAAGACTCAAGATCTTGTTCCCACATTTTGCGGCGATGTGTTCTTTCCTCTCCAGGTTTCATGCCATTGGTCAGCCATTGCATTGATGCCTTGCTGAATTTAGCACAGGATTGGGCGTCCCTTGCAGCGGAAGTCCTTGACGTTCTGAAAGGCAGAGCTCGCAAATGCAAATTCAGCAAAAAGCAAAGTGGTCTCAGCGTCGCAGCGCCGTTGACTGGCCCCAAGTTAAAGCGAAACAGTGCAATCAGAAGATCCGACAGTTCTGGCTCTGTTGTTGGCTTCATGCTGAACTTTGGCTTGTCTGGTGGTATGAACCCAGCGGGGTCGAACCTGGCAGTTCAGCGTTGGTTCGATGTTGGGTTCTATGCTGCCTCCTTGAAGGCAAAGTGGGGTTTTGCAGTTGGGTGCCGTCGTCCGATCGGTGTTTCAATCGCGAAAGCCGTCCCATCCTTTCCGTGGATTGTCACTGTGATGCTGTGAGCTTGTTCATTGCCCCTGACATTGCTCCAGCTATTGTGTGGCTGTCGCACATGTCCTCTTCCACCCGTTCACTTTGGGTTGATGTTGGGGGTGTGGAGATTTGGTCATGTCTATATCTACCTCCGTCCTCGAGTGTGGACATGCAAACGCGCAAAGCGCTGGTGGCCATGTATTTTCACGAGTGGGACCAGATGTGGGAAATCCAAAAGAAGCGAGCTACGAAATCAGGTCGGTCGACTACGATGCATGGTTGCGGAGACCTCAACCCATGCCCTGAACTCATGCGCATTTTCCAAGGGTCGATGATGGAAGGAGGCGTTGTATGGGCGTCTGACACCTCTGTGCCCACTCATTCCAAGGGCAATACGTTGGATTTCGTGTGGACGATTCGACAAGAAGCTCCACCCAATGTTGTACTCCATGATGGGTGTCATTGTCGGTGTCGAGGCTGTGAGAATGCTTGGTGTGGAGATTTGGCATCGGCAACGGGCAGTAATGACCTGGATCATCATGCCTTTACTTTCAGTACATGCCTGCGATCCTCCCAAGTGCAGACATTGTCTTTCATTGCAAAGTTTCCGAAGGACCAGGACATGTGGGATGTTGCAGTTGGTGTCTTTGCAGCCCCGCTGCTGCGTCTACTCGGCACTGATCTGGAAGGATGCCTTGATTCTCCCAAGCACCTTGCTTGGTACACTGTGAAGGTGCGGAGGCATGTACTTGAAGCTTCGGCAACTACTGGGTGGGAAGCTCTTCTCGCCATGTCTGCTCTGCTTATGCATCGGGCCTAGTCACATTACGCCCCATGGAACGCATGCCATCTGTTCCTGTAGTTGTGCGAAATGCCTTCCAGACGCTGTTGAAGCTGCAGTCCAGCCGTGTTGAAGATCATGTTTCTTCTGATCTACCCGCTGTCGCAGCAGCGCGCGCTGCGTATAGAGCAACAGTCCGTGATTGCCAGCTGGAGGTCCAAGATGGACGTGTGCGCACTTTCATGCAGCATTGCTCTTCCAAGGATGGATCTGCAGACAAGTTCCTGGCCAAATGCCTCCGTCAAAATCCTCTGGGTCTGCCTGACTTCATGTTTGATGCAACGCACCAAGTCCTCCGTGGACGTGAAGTTCTTGAAGAGGCAGTGGCTTACATGCAAAACCTGCAAGTTCCATTGCGTACGGCTGATGTCTCCCATCGCCTGGAATGTGAAAGCGCACTGGAGCTTCTACGTGCCAACCTCCGTGAGCAGGTGTATGTTACACTGGAAATGTCGGGTGATGACCTCTCCTGGGACGACTTTTGTGCAGCGTGTAAAGCTATCGACTCTCATGCTGAATGTCGCGGGCTGCCTTATGCAGCCTTACTCTCAGACAACTCCGACCAGCGACATTTCCTGTGGCAGCTTCATCGTCTAGCCCTGAAACTCGGTATGTCTGCGAAGCTTTGGACCACTCAGGATCTGTACCATGTCCTTAAACCGTCCCGCAACCCTCAGGCGTTGAGCTCTTTCAGGATCCTGGGCTTAAATGCAGCACAAGGTCGCCTTCAAGAAGAAATTTGGGCCCAATTGCAGCCCAATCTTTGGATGCATACTGGATCCTTCCAGGAAGGACGATCCGAATGTTTGATGGTTGTGGCTTCGGATCTATGCGTCATCCGAATGCGCTCTGCCTTGGGCCTGCCGTCGGGTATGGTGTTGGTTGACAGACAAGAGGCTTTCGACTCGCAGTGGCGCCCATCCATGCTCCTGCCGCTTGCCAAGTTAGTTCCTCCAAGACTTTGGTGCGTTATGGATGAGCTCCACAAGAATACATCGATGAGTATAGTGAGCGGCTGCAATCGATCCTCGTCGTTCACCACAAAAGTTGGTGTTGTTCAGGGACGCAAACTCAGCCCCCTCGCATTTTGCATTGGGCAATCTGCTCTCGAGTTTGCCGCGAATGAGGCGCTGTTAGGCCTGGGGATGAACCCTCCGCTCGAAGCTGTTGTTGCCTTCCATGCGAACAAAGACGGCTCTGAAGACGGAGATTACGACAAGCGTCAAGCCTTACATTTGCTCGGTGAAGTCCAGTCGGGATTATTATCTTGGTCCTCCGCGATGCAACGAGCTTCCTCTGACACGTTGCGCCTGACTTTGCTGGACGCTGCTTCAACAGTCTCACGCGGTGTGAGGTCTTTCGTTGATGATACGAGGATTCCGATCTCTTTTCATGGTCATGCTGTTGCTGCCCTTCAGGTATTGGACCGTCAAGCTTCCAAGGAGCAATACCGATACAACTCTGACAAGTGCAAAGTGATTGCTCATAATTTTGGGCAGAGACGGCCTATTCCTGGCATGTTCAGTATTCTCAATCTGCAGTTCAGTTGGGTTGCAGTGTTGATGTGCTCTTCGATGGCCGTGCACATTTGAGTGCTATATTGGCAAAAGGTTCATACAAATTTCCTGTGCTCCTGGGCCAGATGGTTAGCATGAAACTGCCTATGCTGGCCTTGCTTCGTGCTGTGCGAGTACGAATGATTCCTGCCGTCATGTTCGGTGTTGAACTGGTAGTAAATGTTCCTTTCTTTGAGAAGCTTCTTAACGGGATGCAAGCCCGTTGGATGCGTGGCATGCTTGGCATTCGTGCGACAATACCCCGTATTGTCATGATGTTTGAACTTGGAGTGGAGGATCGTCTTTCC